TGTAAACATATAAAAATATAATAACAGAGAGTGATAAGTGCTATAAAATAAATAAGTAAAATAAAGTCAGGCTAAAATAGATAGAGTAACTGAGAAGAGATATTTGAGAAATATTTGTCAAGATTGACAGGAAAGAGTTCTTTAGAAGATGTTTGTCTAAACAAAAGCTTGAATGAAATGAACATCAAATTATTGTAGTTTGTGGCAGAAGTTGAATAATCAAAAGGAACATAGGAGGAAATTATAGGGAACAATAGGAAAGAAAAAAATATGGCTAGGCTTATAAGTATTTTAAATACTACTTAATTTAAATGTTATGGGAACAAACCTACTGAATGGTAGTAGAGGGGAGTAAACTGATTTTAAAGATTATGCAATTTTGTGTGTAAAAGAGACTATAAGGAACAAACTATCTCAAATTTGCTTCATCTGTAGCTTTCACTAATTAAGAATATGACAAAACTGTCTTCTAGTTGCTCTGGCCCAAAGTATAGAGTCATTATATATACGTTTTTTTCTCTTTAATCCCTACAGTAGATCCTTATAAAAATCACTTTATTCTGGGTTATTCTATTGGTTCCATCTTAAAAATATATTTATAATTCAACCACTTCCCATGTCTTTACTTCCATTTTGCTCTGTCTCTGTGTTCTCCTCTCTAGATTACTACATTAATTCCTATCAGATCTCTATGCATCTACTGTGCATCTGTAGAGTTTCTTTTCAACACAACCGCCAAAACATCATTTTAAAATATAGGATACTATTGTTAATTTACCAAAAACATAGAAATACTTCCTATTTTACTTAAAGTGAAAATCAAAGATGCTAAAATGGTATGTGTGATTGGCTACTGCCCCGATCTCTAGTTTCTTCTCTATCCTCACTCCTTCCCCTTGCTTTCTGAAGACCAGCTGCACAGGTCTCAGCAGTGTGATCTGAACAGGACAGGGATTTTGCATTAGGTGCTCCTTCTGCCAGAGATGTTCTTTCCCTAGAAAGTGGCATGGTCCACCATCTCAAATCACTACCCAAGTAGTAGTTTTCTCAGACAGGCTTTCATTCACTATTCTACATATACTGGAATTTAGAGTCAAAGCAAAGAGGTCAAGTGGAGGATTATTTAACTATTCTTTGAGAATGTTTGGTGTCTTGACAAGAGTGTTAACTTCAAAATAATAAAAGTGTTTATACCCATGACATATATTAATGGGAGAGCTTGAAGGACTGCTGATGGACAACAAGTAGACTGAGAGAGAGACAAAAAAAATCAAAGATGACTCTAAAGAGTACTGACAGAAAGGTAGGTTTATTCAGGGATTGAAAACCAGCCATTTATTTGGAATATATTAAGTTTGAGATGCCACATTGGATATGCATGAACATAGACACAGGTTTACCTGGTGGGATGCAGAGTTTGGTGTTTTGCCCGGTCGGTGTGGCTCCGTGGTTCAGCGTTGACCCATGCACTAAGAGTCACCAGTTCAATTCCCCGTCAGGGCACATGCCCAGGTTATGGGCCAAATCCCCAGTGGGGGGCATGCAGGAGGTGGCTAATCAATGTTCTCTCTCTCATTGATGTTACTCTCTTTCTCTCTCTCCCTTTTCTTTCCTCTTTCTCTAAAATTAATTTTTTAAATGCGGTATTTTTTTTTTCAGTTCCATTAAACAGAAAGAGATAAGGAGTCCATTGAACAGAAAGAGATAAGGAGTTTGAGAGTAAATATACAGGTATGTTTTGTAAAAAGTAAAATGAGGACTTGGCAAGGGTGAGGGACAGAAGAGAGCAAGTGAAGTCAAATAATTAGAGGCACCCATTGGTTATAAAAAAAAAATGTTACATAATTTTTGTCATAGAGCATATGAGTGAGTGAGCTTGAAATACATGAAGTGTTTCTTAGAGACTGGAATTATTTATTTATTTTTTTATCCTCACCCAAGGACATTTTTTTTTTTTTGACATTTTGTTCAGATAGAGAGGGAGGGAGAGAGAGAGAGAGAAACATCGATATGAAAGGGACACATTTAGTGGTTGCCACCCACACGACCCAACCAGGGTCGGGGACAAACTGCAACTGAGGTACGTGCCCTTAGCGGGAACCGAACCGGGTCTCTCAAGACCGCAGGCCGACGCTCTAACCGCTGAGCCAAACTGGCCAGAATGAGACTGGAGTTATTTAAATCAAGATGTTGGAGGGTGTGTAATTATGGGTCAAGATAAAGTATAAGATATGACCATGAGAAATGGACTAAGAACAGGAGGAGGAGAAAAAACTAATTACAAACTAATTGTTAAAGAATGTAAGCGACCAAGATGGTGGATTTCCAAGAGGGATCTGGAAGTCATCAGTAAGATGCCAGCGGTGGTGGAGGAAAGGATGGCAAGCAGATGCTAAAGCCTTTAGCGGTGGATGCACAGGAGTTGAGAGAAGAGGAGAAACTTTGAAAAGGAGCATTGGGAGAGAGAAACAGAAAGTTAGGGAGTGACATAGCGGATGTCATTTGCTCAAAATCAATAGGCTTTACAGGAGGAGGAAGACAAATGGTCTGGATATGGTAACAAGGGCAGAGCTACCTCTATTCTTTCTCACCAGTTACACACAGGTTTTGTAAAGAACGGAAGGTACACAAAAGAGATTGTGGTATTAGAGAATTGACAGTTAACAAAATGAGATCCTGAAGGCACAGCGGAAGAGTACTAAATATTAAGAAGTATTTGAAATTTCACAGAGACTTATGGGGCTTACATTTATTTGATCAGTGATGTCTTTGAGCACTTAGGGATTACATGGTATTAATTCAACCTTTATGTACATAGATCTGTACTAACTTCTGTCATTTTTTTATTATTTATTATTTACAAGTAAATTAATAGGTTCGGGATTAATGGGGTAAAGTTATACTAATGTGAGCATATGTTCTCAAAATGAGGCATCTAGGGGGCCAGATCTGAGAATGATTCTGTCAACTATAACACTCCCAGAATAATATAAAATTATATTAATAGTAGCAGATACTCTTGATGAGGCAATGCATCAACAATGTTCTACATATTTTCAATAGTATATAGTTTACAACCATAATATGAAGTTATATAGCTATATTTAAACTTTAACACACTTTCTTTGCTCATTTTTAGAGTAATTTGTTCAAAAGGGAAAGTAACCTTATAAACATGTCTATGTATTTCAAGGAAAGAAAAATGTAGCCGCTCAGTTTTTGAGATAATTAACTCAAAGAAACTGAGGTGTCCTGCTAGATGAAAATTATTGAGTGACCAAGGGGACACATTTTGTTAATTAAAAAATTCCTCACTCAAATGTATGAGTGCTATTTTTAAAAGTGTTTTTCAGAATTCATGTGAAAATACAACTTTATTATATTTTGGAAGGAAATATGTTGACCTATGTGAATTCTGTGGTACAATGTTCTATTTCAAAGTCATGATGCATGCTTCATTAGATTTACTTATGATACAAACTGGAACCTTAACTCTACATGGTTGATGTGGAGAGACAGCACACGGACTAATGAAATGTTGAAACTGACTTGAGAAAAATAAAGTCTGTTAATGCATTGAATTGACACTTAAGCAGGGAAAACTGTAATTGCAATTCAGTGATTAAGAAACAGGAGAGAAAAAACAAGCTGATAATAAAATAGAACAGCATTTCCCCATAAAATGTCTTAGAATTTGAGTGGAGAAAATAAAAGATTTAGAAACAAAAACCTGTGTATCACAAAATCTCTGATTTTTAGACATAATATTTATATATTTCCAATATCCATATCTAGTTTTTTGTTATCCAGTAGTCCCCTTGATGATAAAATTGAAAAGAAAAGCCTTCTAGACAACTAGAATATTGCTATTAATAAGGGTCAATAAAAATATCACACTTAGTGAAAATCAAATACATGTTATATATGAATGCATATTTACTCATATTTATATAATTCTATGCATATTTTTAAAAGTCGACCACTTTTCAAAGTAGATTGATAAATATACAAGAACTATAAAATTCAGAACTAAAAATTATGTATCAAAAGTCAACATTTTTAAAAAGATAGTAAATGGATTTACTGGTAAAATAATATAAGATTATGTAAACAGATTTGACTGGATGGGTTAGAATTTTCAATATCTGGATACAACGAAAAAGATTCATTGTCTTTTGAAAATGTCACATATTAAAAACTTAACATGTTTTTTAAATCTTGTATTTAGATTACTTTAAAATTGATGAAAATGCTATCCATTGTACATCTGTGATGTGTATATATGTTCTAAGTTTCTTTCCAATATGTTTTAAGTCTTTCTTGTACCACTGAAAAAGTTCTGCTTTGATGACTGTTCTATTGATTGCCTTTCAGTAATGCCCAACAGAACTTACTTTAAGTAGCCACATAAAAGTCAAGCAAGAGTGAAGATTACAAATTATACTTCTTAATGGTGTGAGGAAGTATCTATAAAGCTATTTATGATGGACTAAAATTATAGGCTCAGATAACTAGGTCACTTCTGTAATTTACAAATGGTTAATATTTTGCAAATTCTTATTTAAATAAAACACTATTTCCTAAAAAGTTTGCCTAAAGACCCTAACTAAAAATTGTTAGCTGAGGTCTTTGAATTGAAGAAAGAGATGGTTACTTTATACTTTCAAAATATAATATTAACATTGTATGTGTATAATAGAAATAATTCTTTGGGTACTTACATTTATATCCTTTCTGGACCTTTAGATATTATTATCCTAAAAAAAGCACCATTATAAAACAAAATATATGTTTTATAACTCTATGCCCAAATTATGTCTGAGAATTTCTTAAATACTTATTCACAATCAATACTACAACAATTAAACAACCCATAAAAAGACATTAACGAGTTTCTACTTTATTTTTAAACAGATTATGTCATTAAATAAAATTGAAGCTTAAAACATTTAAAATTCATGTATTTTAATTTAATAAAATAAGAAACTAATCAATTATACCTGCAATAATAATCTTTCTCAAAATTCATATATGTGGCATCCTTCTTGTAAGGAAATGAGTCACATGAAGCTTGAAGTTTCTTACAAAGCTTGCCTATAAATACTGGTGAATAGATGCACAAGGTATCCTAGGAAAGATGAAAAAAGCATTTTTTATCCAAGTTTTAAGATAATTTAATGATAATGAAAAGATTAAAACATGGACATTATTTTCATAAGCATGTAGTAGAAGTTCTCTGTACAACAATGTGGAAGATTTTATTTTCCAAAATGTCAAAACAATGTCTTCCATTTCAAACACCCTTCTTAACTGTGTGAATTGAACACTCCTCTAACTGAGTGTAGGGGACTGTATTTCTCCCACTTGAATATAAGAAATGTCTGGCTATAAAGTGATGCCCTGAGGCTTTCAAAGCTAAATTTAAAAGGTCATACAGTTTCAGTCTAATTATCTTGGACCCCAGTTCCCAGGTCATAGAGGTTGGTCAGATTTAAGGTCCTGTCTAATGGCTCCTCTCTGACAGCCAGTATAACCATCACACATGTGACTAAAGAAGACTTTAAGATATAAATGTGAATTCATATTATGTATTCAAATATGAAGAGTACAAAAATAAAAGATTTGTGGGATCTACATTATTTTCTAAATAAATTCTTTATTTAAGTGTTAAATTTAAAAGTTATAATTTTAAAAATTCAAATAACTAAAAAAATAAAAAGTTTACAAAGCTACGTTGTTTACAAGAGAGAATTCTGGTGCAAAAGCAAAAATGAAATGAAATAGTGCTTTTGGAATTGAGGGTTCTATTTAAAATGGAAACAAGTTAAACGCAAAAAGATTTCCTGAGTTTGAGAATTTACAAGTTAATGAAAACTATGAATATTTGTACTTTTGAAATAGTTTGGTAATGGTAAACAATGTGTTTAAACCACTCTACTATATGTCTGATTCAGATTTACCTTTGAGATGTTGCAGTCCTCACCATTCTGACATGGTATTAATGAAAACTTATTGATATCAATTTCACAGCCTCTGGTGAGAAATCCTTCTGGGCACTCACAAAGGTCACCAGAACTTTTATTTTGGCAAATTCCGCTTTTCCCACAAACCCGAGAAACACAGCATTCCATTGACTCTTCACAGAATGGACCTTAAAAGAATGAAGACAAAAAGAAAATTGGAACTTAGATATTTAGCAAAACTTATGATAGAAAAAGTCTCAAGAGTCCATGGGATCTTTTTACAACATATTTCATTATATAATTTCTATATCATAGGGCTCATCCATTGCAAATTAGTAATTCAATAACTTTTGCAAATGCATAGAGCTATTCAACCATCAGTACCACCCAGTTTTAGAACATTTTCATGACCCAAAGCAGGGCTATTTTATGGTGACTCTATTTTCAACTACAGTCAGTCCCAGGCACCATTTTTTTCTGGGCATTTTATATTAAAGGGATGGTACAGTATGTTGTCTTTTGTGATTGGTTTCTTTTGCTTATCATAACATTTCTGAGGATGTTTAGTGTTGTATCATGTGTCAGTACTTTGTAGCTTCCTTGCCAAAGAGTAGTTAATTTTCAATGTACACATTTTGTTTATTCATTCATCAGTTAACAACATTTGGGTTGTGTGTACCTTTTTATTAAGATATAATTAACATTTAATATTATATTAATTTCAGGTGTCCAATATATTATTAAGAAATGATCATAAATTTAGTTAACATTCATTACCATGCATAGTAACATTTTTTTTTCTTATGAATGGGAACTTTTTTACTTTCTTAGCAACTAAACTTTATAAATAATGAATTCACACAAAAATATTTTTGTGGATATATATTTTTATATCTCTTGGACAGAGTCCTAGTGGTAGAACTGATGAGGTATATGGTAAATATATGTATAACTTTTTAAGAAAGTATCAGACTGTTCTGCAAAGTGGCTGTGCCATTTTACTTACATTCACACCAGCAATACATAATATATCCTATTTCTCCACATTTTTGTTAACATTTGATATCGTCTATCTTTTTTATAACCATTCTACTGGGTGTGAAATAGTATTTCCTTGTGGTTTCAATTTGCATTTCCATAAGACTGACAATTTTGAGTATCTTCTCATATGTTCATTTTCTATTGTACATCCTCATCAATAAAATTTCTATCCAAATATGTAGACTATTTTAAATTGTTTTATTCATTTTTTTATTATTGAGTAGTGAGTATTCTTTGGATATTCTGAATACAATTCCATTACGATATATGTGACTTGCAAATAATTTCTCCTTGTCTTATCTTTTCTATTCATTTTCTTATTTAGTGGCTTTTGCATAGAAAAAATTTTTTATTTAAGTCAAATTATCAATGATTTTCATTTTATTAAGTTCAATTTGTAACCTTTCTTTTACATATTCTTCTGTATCATACTTTTGGCATAATATCAAAGAAAGCTTTGACTAACTAATAAATATTTCATTTTATGTTTTATTAGATATTTTATCATTGAAGCTCTTACATTTGTATCTCTATAATTTGAGAAAAAATTTTGTATGGTATGAGATAAGGATGTATAATATCATATATGCAAATGGCTTACATGTTGATATACAATTGTCCCAACAACATGTTTTGAAAAGATTATTTTTTAAATTTAATTTCCTCTTTCACAATTGTAAAAATCAATTGACCAATGGGTCTATATAGCTATTCATATGCAATAACACACTGTGTGGATAAATGGAGCTTGACAGTATGTTTTGAAATTGGGCAATCATCTAACCTTTTCCTTTTTCCTTTGCAATTCCATGTAAAGATTTGTATGAACTTGTCAATTTCTATACAAAAGCTTGTTGGGATAATGATAGGGATTTCAATGAATCAATAAATAAAATTAGGAAGAATTACCATTTTAATAGTATGGAGTTACAATAAATAAATATGTAATGTCTCCCCATTTGTTTAGATATTTTTTCATGTCTCTCTGTAATGTTTCATAATTTTCAGTTAAAGTCTTGGCATTTAATGAATTAAACCTATACATAAGCATTTTATCCTTTTAATAATATTGTAAAAAACTTTTTCTTTCTTAACTTCGCTTTTATAATTTTGTGCTCATATATAGAACTGCAGTTACCTTTTGTATATTGCCTTGTATCATGCAAACTTTATAAACTCAGTTATTATTCTGGTAGTTCTCTGGGGATTCCTTAGGATTCTCTACATATGTGATTATGGCATTTGTTAGTAAAGACAGTTTACATCTTCCTTGTCAGTCAGTATTTTCTTATATCTTTCATTCTCCCTGTCCAACAGTCTGGAACATCCAAAATGTGGACTAGAAATAGTAAATGTGGCTGCCACGGTCCTGTTCTCCTTCTGAGGGGCAAGTCTGCCCGCTTGACATCACGTGTGATGTTGACAGGACAAGAGTCCTAGATGCTTTGCATCAGGCTGAGAGTTTTGTTCTTTTTCTATTCTCTTTAGAGTTTGTATAGTAAATGTGTGTTGGATTTTGTCAAATGGTTTTTCCGCATCTATTGAGAAGATTATGTGATTTTGTCCTTCATGTCAATAATACGGTGAACTATATTAACTGATATTCAGATGTTAAATCAATCTTGCATTCTTAGAAAAAAAATGCCACTTTTTCAGATTACAAAACTATTTTATATGTTATCTAATTTGGTGTGCCTGTATTTTGAAGTTTTCAATATGTATTCATAAGTGATATATATGTGTGTGTGTGTGTGTGTGTGTGTGTGTGTGTATGTGTGTGTATATATTTATCTTGTATCTTTGATTGTTTTTTTGTATCGGGGTAATACTGGCTTCACAAAATGTGTTCTCATCTATATTTTTGTAAAGTTTATGCAGATTTGTACTAATCTTTTAAATATTTGGTAGTTCTATGTAGATTTTTTATTTGTTCTTGAGACAATTTACTAATTTTTACCTTTCTAAGAATTTGTCTATTTTACTTAAGTGGTCTAATTTCTCAGCATATGGTATTTATGGGTTGTTGTGGGGTTTTTTTTCTCCTTACAATTTTTTGAATTTTGAATCGTCATTAGTGCATGCTTCTCTTTACATCTGGCTTTGTTAATTTGTTGTCTTCCCTTGTTTTTTCTTGATCAGTCCAATAAGAGATATGTACCTTATATTTTTCTTAGATACAAGATTTTGTTTCATCAAATTTTTTCATTAGTTTGAATGATATTTACTCTAATCTTACCATTTTCTTTCTTTTAGGTTCAATTTGATCTTTTTTTTTTTTTGGTAGAAGCTTATGGTTATTTATGGTAGAAGCTTATATTAATTTGAGAGTTTTTTTATTTTTAATGTAGGAATTGAGAACTATCAACTTTCCTCTAAGCAGTGACTTAACTACATCTCTTAAATTGTAATATGCTGTGTGTATAGATATGTTCAATTGTAACTTCTTCTTTGTCTTGGGTTATTTTAGAAATTTGTTTAATTTCAAAATATCTGGAGATTTCTGAAAAATGTTCTGCTGTTATTTTCTAATTTAATTCTGGTAGGACTGAAAGCATTTTACAATTTTAATTTCTTTAGATTTACTGCGACTTGTTTTATGGCCGTGGTCATTTGTTCATACGTTGTGTATCATCAGCGGGGCTGAGTCAGTGCATGTTGGGCACTGATGCAATGTGAAGGTGAGTGCCATCTTACACTTGTGCCCAGCAAAGTCATGTGCCTCCCTCTAGTCCCCAAGTTAAGATCATGTGAATAGAGTAAATATGTAGTGATATTAAGGCCCAATTCTGGGAGTCCACTGCAGCTTAAAAAAAAAAAAAAAAAAAAAAAAAAAAACTGGATCACTATGTCTCACTGCAGAGTTGTGAGGTATCAGTAAATTGTGTTCAATATGTTGTCATTGAGCACATCACAATGTCAATAAAAAGTGACCTGACAACCCTCACCATGTCTTTTAACTCCTAAATTTCAAAAGGAAAAAGTACTCGTTTAGTTATTGCTAGACTAAATAGGGATGTAGACAATTTATAGGTATGTGTTGGGGAGAACTGAATGGGGAAATATCTGACTTCCTGCTAAAAATAACAACATGTCCTCCAGGAATATCTACAGAAATTTGTTTCAAAGTCGTTGTACTCAAGTTCATAAATTTGTCAACCAATTCACTATATAACCCTAGGCTTACAAGTATACATGTTTATTGGGAGGGGACTTTATATAAAACTCATTCATTATCATATGAACAGAAGCATCAAGAAAATTTAGCTACAGAGAATTAAGTTAATGAGCAATAGCATACAAGCCAGAAAAGCCTCACTTAAAAGATATGCTGCCAATTGATTTGAAGTTTGAACTGTGCGATAAATTCCAAAGTATAAAGACACAAAGGCAGCATAAAATGTTGAGTGACCGCACCAGTGGCATTATCATATTAAAATAATTCAACCTCTAATTTCAGAATATTAGTACATAATCATTTTGATCACACAAAGAAGGATGAACGTGTGTTTCTCAATATTGTGATGTATTAGCTTATTAAATAATTAAACATAAGAATATCATTCAATTATATTTAAGATAAATCTTACTAAGAAATGGTTTGAATGATACTACTGTATGTGCATGTAATGCTTGACATTTCCATGGCACTCCATCCATACTTTTTTGACAAAATCCTTCAGATAAATTTATAAAAGGCCATTATCATCCAGTTTTCTATTTAAATTTTCTTTTAAGTAAGAAGCTAATTTTACTAGAGGTTATGCAGCTTGAAACATATCACACAGTTGGTTAATTAATGTCAGATTAATAATAAAAATGTGTGCATCGCACATAATCCTATTATGACTGCATACTCTTTTCAACAACATATGCCTGCAAAATTGGCCCTGTAAAGAAGGTAGAAGACTCAAATATGATTTTGTTGTTACAGTTAGTACATTATTTCTACTCTAGGATACAACATTACGCTGCCCTGCATTATACATTGAATATAAAAAAGACACAAATAAATAATATATTTATTTGGCTTCTTCTACACACAAACAAAAATTTTTGCAATGTAGAAGTATACCTTTGTGGATACTTGTCATGGCAGTTTCCAAAGTAATTCACAGAGTAAAATAGTGAACAGTGAAATGTGCATTTT